CTGGAGGCTCCCAGCAGCATGGACAGGTGAGTGAGCAAACGGAGCAGCACAAAGACCGTGGAGGACATGCCCCTGTCAGATATTCCCAGTGTCCTTCTGTGCTCAATATCTGCAAGGATGTGGCCAGTTTGAGTTCTGTCTGGACGATTCCTGTAGGACAGTGCATATATGTTTTTTTTTACCTAGACAAAAACCACACAAGACATCTCTGATACCCAGCAATGCCTTTTTGACCCATAATGTCTTTGAGCACCATAAAAGCTGCCAATTCAAAGTGCCACAGGGGAGTGAAGGCTTCCAGTCAGTTTTGTGCACAGAAGAGCAAATTTCTTTGGTTTTGCTGCCTGATTACTCTCACCCAGCTGGAGGTGGCATAATCTCCTCTTCCTCCCAAGCACTGGGGCATTTCAGGCTCCCCAGAGCATCAGCAGCAGACATGGTGCTGCCAGGAGAGACTCCATTCACCCGACAGCCAGGACAAGCCACCTCCCAACCACTGCCACTCTGGCCCAATGCCAAGGGACACACAACAGTAGGAAAACCCCGAAGCAGCACAAAGTGAAGGCAAAGAACCAGAACCATCACCAGGAGATGCCTCTTGTCTACCTGCTGCAGAATTTCTGCTGGGAACACCCAGCTGAACTGTGGCTCTGTGACCAACTTCTGAGCAAATTCCATCCCGTGCTGGCTGGCAATCCTCCTGACCAGGTACACACAGTGCCAGTCATTCCTGGCAAGGCTGCAGAACTTCTCCACGTTCTTTAGGTAACGGTGCTTCTCCTTCATCTGCTCTGGCTCTGGAGGGCAAAAAAGAGGTTAAAACAAAGAGGCAAAAGCACATCCCATCCTGTCAAACTTTTCTGTCTGCCCCAGCTGTAGCACCAAGCTCCTGTACTAGTACTGTGTTATTACACAGAAGAAACTCAGAGCCCTCCTTTCCTCAGGGTGTTGTCTGGAGCATATCCTCACCCAGATTTCAGACAATGATTCATTTCTTTGACAGGGAAGGTATAAACTCGTCAATATAAACTCTTAATCCTTCTAGCTGTGCAGAGCTCTCATTTATACAAAACAATAACCCTTACATCAGTCCTGGGTCTCAAGCAGCATTTATGCTTTAAAGTTCAATTTAGTGGGCTCTAAATAAATCTCATTGTTAGCAACAGGAGGATAAAATAAATCTCCTTCCACAGGTGTTAACTGCTATGTAACTACACTGGGGTCACCAAGCACAGCCTTTCTACCAGTTACAGAGCACTTCTAACACATGGTACAGGGGACAGACAGTGACTGACACCCCCAAGGAAAAAGGGAGCTGCTGCTCTCCTTCTTGGCCATGCACCAAAACAGGTCCTAGCAGAGCACAGGGCACTGCCTGTGTCCAGCTCACCCGCCCTGCATGCAGCACTTCCAGCAGAGCAATCAGACTCACCCTTGTGCTGCTGCAGGTCAAAGATGAGCTCTGCAGCCCTGCTCAGGCACAGGCGCACCTCGGCCACAGCCTGCAGGTATTCCACAGAGGCTTCCTGGGGAGCCCCGCTGCTGCTGGCTGGCAGGTAGTTCTCTGGAAAGCCTCTGTCCTCAGGCAGACTGTTTCCATGCCCACATCCCACGCTGTCCTCTAACTTCTCACACATGGAATCCTATAGAGAAGCCAGAACACTGGTGAGTGGCAGAGCAATCTCACTCAGCCACCCCTACCTCACTCAGCCCCCAGGGCACCCAGCCTGCCACGAGCACAGCAAACCATCCCTGAGCCTCCATACTAAACCTAACCCTCCAGCCCATCCTGTCACGAGCACAGCAGACCATCCCTAACCTTCCAGCCCACCCTGTCACAAGCACAGCAGACCATCCCTGAGCGTCCAACCCATCCCTGCACCCTTCCAAACCACTGCTATTGCCCCCTCATCTTAAAATTCTGCCATGTCACCAAACACCATTGTTAGGATGTGCCCCAGCTGTCCTACACTCCCAAGTCTTGGAGCTGAGCCAGAGCCAGGAGCAGACTGAGAATAACAGACATTCCATGTTCCAGGATGCCAAACTCTACCTGTCTGTCCCTTAGCAAGAACACGAATGGTGATTTTAACTACAAAGTCACTTGCCCAGCTCTTACCTCCAAGCAGTTGACAAACAGCAAGTAGAGCTCTTTTTTATCATTTTTCTCTAGAAGCTTGCTGTGCTCCACCTGGGACAGGTAACGCTGCACATCATCTTTCACTTCACTGAAGCTACAGGAGAGAGAGAGACCCCCTGACACAGCTGCCATGCTGACAGGACTGCCCCTGCTCTAAATCACAGCAGAGCTCCCAGAGCTGGCTATGTTACAGGTGGGGTCACTCTGGATCCAGATGCAAGATGGAGAAGCCCTTGTGATTTTTTGCAAGTGACATTTGGGAATGAGCCAGGCTTTGATCACCACCAGTGTTCAATGAGCACTTCCAGAGAAAAAGGCATCTGGTTCAGGAGGTGGTCACACCTGAGAAAGGGGCTTTTGTGCCCTGCCTGCAAAGGGAGGCTAGGAGGGCTGTGGGAATGGAGAGGTCTCTGGAGCAGACATAAGATCAGTTTAAATCCCGATTAAATCTCAGTGAATGAGGAGTTTTGCTTTACTGACCTCGATCAGAGCAACTACTCAGCCACCTTGCAGAACCCAGGC